ACACACACACACACACACACACACACACACACACACACACACACACAGATAATCTGCAGACATTTCCATGGTGAACACTCACGTTTATAGATGCTTGTTGGCACTATTAGCTCTTCTTACAGTTTAATAGTAATGGAAACATGGTACACATGCAGATCAGACTTGTTGATTTGTGCATCCCTTAGTATATACAAAAGATCAACATAATAACATGAGCACCTGTGCAACCTGATCGTATATAGTAAAACCCCAAACTCTCAATAGTTTTCCACCACAGGTTCCCTCACCAGATATTAAAATACTTTTCTGAAACATGCAGCACCCTTACCCATTATCTTACCCATTCATTTTTTGTGCATTTTGTGAACCACTATGTCGTCATTTTCTTAATTTATTTAAAATATAGAATACATCTTTCATTTGAACATTTAGCCTGCATAAATACCTTTTCTTTGGACTGCAGTATATTCTGATATATTGGAGCATATAATGTCATTTTTGTTGAGGCTGTGGGAGAGATGTTGACTCTAGCTTCAGCTGTATGAGACCGTCATTAATGGTGTATTCCCTTCTATGATACTGTAAAGTTTTTCTGCTATTTCGTCAAGGGATGGAGAAAAACATCCAAAAAAAAAAAAAAGCAGAAAAAATGCCCCAGAGCAACATATAAAGACATTGCAGGCAGCCAGGCTTCAGTATCCTCCTCACTAGCTGAGGCTGGGGATATTGCTGCAGTGAGCACTGTGCACGATGACTGGCACAAATGATAACTTGAAGCAGCCCCTGGTACACCTCGAGCAGATGAGCTGGGGACTAAATGTACTTTATAGCTCTGTCAGCTCATATTGTAGATTGTTGAAGGCTTCGTCTGAGAAAGATTCCAGTTTGGCGTCTACACTCTCCTCTGTCTCCAGGGTGTCTAAGCTCAGCTCCGTGGTAGAACAAGCCTTTTCTTACAGTTTGTTGAGGCTGCTGGCTTCCCCTGCCTAGGTGATGCCTCCGCAGCACACAACAGCAAAGAACAGAACAACAAAACAAGTCTGTGAGAGGCAAGGATTATAACTATTCAAATTATTATCACAATATTTATGAATTTGCAAGGCTGTTATCATTCTTTATCATGTTCTGCAAGTAAAACTAGACGACTGATGATATGCAAAATTAAAACAGCAAAAACGTATAGATAATTCTGCAGCAAAAGTCTGTCCAACTTTCTGCACACTGGAGGAAAAGGAGAAAGCCCGAAGAGACACACAAAAAGTAGTGCACACATAGACAGGCCTTGAGTAAAATTGTGTGTGTGTGTGTGTGTGTGTGTGGGGGGGGGGAGATTTGTCTGCATGTTACAATATTTTCATTCAGAATCCTTCATGTTTTTCTTGGATCGATTACAAATCACCAAATCAGGAGCACAGATGATAGACCGATTGGATTTTTCTAAGGAGCCACATTTGTGTCCCAGCAGGCCTCAGATCGAATCCTACAAGAGCTCTCACTCAACTCTCTTAGTAAATCACAGGACACCATTTCGTTCCCCAAGAACGATATGCCTCCCCCGTGGTGCCAATCAATAACCCTGTTTTTATCTGCAATTGACGAATTGCACACTGGGGTCAATCCTGTAATTCCTAAAACGGAGCAGCGGTTACCCAGTTTTGTCACAATCCAATAATGGGTGTATGAGATACTGTGAGAGGTGGATCATGATGAAGACTGCAATACAAGAAATTGCAACTCCGAGGCAAACTGTGATCGCTCTTTGTCTAACTTGTGTCTAAACAAAAGCCCTGGGAGTTGAAGCATATACACTCTATTGAAGAATACATGCTCACCGATGTGAAAACCCAGACAAGCAATTTTGAAACACACACACAATAAGAAACATTATATACAGTACCATGTCCACCGTGGTAGCGAGTCCTCCTCTTCTCCTCTGACTTCATCCTGGCTTTAATGTACCCCTGACACCTGTACAGGTGAACCAGTCGGCCACAGAGTAAGAATCACCTCATAAAACATCCCTGTACATCCCATTTTTGTTCCTCACCCTCCTTTCTCTTTTTGCTAGCAAACCCTCTCCGTGTTTTCTATACAACACAGTTCATTATTTGACATTACAGCAGAAGGCACAAGTAACATTGGTTAGTGTATCATTTGGTCACTTAATTTTTCTTTCAGAAATGGGTATTTAAAAACAAACCGTCCTGAGGGTGTTATAAGCAGAGCGAAGTTTGAGGTCATTCATATTTTTTCATGGAGCTGTGTGCCCTCTTCTCCAACATGCCTGTTGATGTGCAGAATAATTAATCCAAACGACAGGTTTGATGTGCACATAAGCACGGAGATTCTGTTATCTTACAAAAGTCCGATGCTGGATGGTACCATCCTCATCGGCGCTCTTTCCTTCTGACCACATCCGGTCTCAGAATATGAAAAAAACAGGCCTTTTTTAATTGAATTTTTTGTTATACAAAATAGAAAATCAAACTTTCAATTTTGGGAATTTATGACACAGTACTAAACTGGTTTAAATTATACTTAAAGGACAGGGACTACTTTGTGTGTAATTACACATCTGAGCGGACAAATGTGACATGCAGAGGTCCCCAAGACTCCATTTTGGGGCCTCTTCTGTTTAAAATCTATATGCTTCCTCTGGCTCAGATTATCGACACACTCTAAATTACATAACTATATCACCAGGGGACTATGGTCCAATATAAGTATGAGTTAGTGCATTGGACAGATCAATGTTTGGATGTGCCAGAATTGTCTTCCATGAAACAAAGACAACACGAGAATGTTAAAAACCACAAACCAAGCCAGAGATCTTCATGTAGTCGTGAACTCAGAACTGAATTTCAACAGCCACATTAAGATAATTACAAAGTCAAGGATGAAATGACTTATGTCTCAGCAGGATTTGGAAAGAACTTGTCCATGCATTTATCTTCATTAGGTCTCCCTAAAAAATCGATTAGACGGTTGCAGCTGATTCAGAACGCTGCTACTCGAGTCCTCACTAAGATCAAGAAAGTGGATCACATCACTCCAGTTCTGAGGTCTTAACATTGGCTTTCTGTCTGTCAAAGAATTGATTTCAAAATGCTAGCATCCAGACCGCTCAGGTTGTTTGGGACGGGTCTGCTTTCTGTCCCCAGAGTCAACACTAAACATGGTGAAGCAGCATTCAGTTTCTATGCTCCATATATCTGACACAAACTCACAGAAAATTACAGTCCAGCTGCAACACTCACTTCTTTTAAAACAAGGCTGAAGACTCCTGTTTGCCACTGCCTTTTATTATATAATGAATTATTCATTTCCTCTTACTCTGAACTGTAACTTTCATTCTTATTCTCATAGCTTGTTTTAATTTTCTATTCTATTGACTCTTCAATGACTTCTTTCATTTTATTTGAATGTCCTTTTGTGGTGTATTTCTTTTGCACTTTGTCTTGACGCTTTTGATGTTTTATGTAAGCACTTTGAATTGCCTTGTTGCTGAAATGTGCTATATAAATAAATTTACCTTATTAGATATCATGCAAGACCCACTCGTAGGAATCGATTCGTTCTTAAGAGGCACATACTGTAGTGATATCCGATTATTTGTCTCATTCAACAATTTCCCTCTACTTCAATTTTTTGTTTTATGTTGTACAAGTAATGTACAGATAGTCTTCCTTTCCCAACAGAGGAAAAACACTTGTATTGCTTGAGAATAATTGAAATGCCTTAATCTGAGGCAGACTTTAAATAAGATTGGGAAACATTTCTGTTAATGAACCTCTTTCCTCAAATTGAGCGGAACCTGTATGGCAACTTAGTGGCATTGATTATGCCCACAAATCCCACAAACAGGCACCTGGTCATCAATGGAAGGCTTCCATCAACTTGAAACAAGCAGTTTACGACAAGTTTGTGCAGTTGAGAGTTTTATGAATATGACTTGGAACACTTGCACGAGCAAGCTTTAGGTTTAGGATAAGAATACAAAAATGTTCTTGCATTTGGCCAATTGTCTATCATTTATCTTCTGGGAAGTACCTGAATCTATTTCTTTCTGGAAAGTGAGACACATTGTGCAGACATTTTCAGCATTTTAAGTTTTCCAATTGTGTGATCTAAGATTATCGCTTCAGCTTGCTTCATAATTAGATAAAAATCCAGACAAATTACCTACAGATTCGGGGCCATTTTTCATTGTTTATTAATAAGTGCCTCTAATGGTAAAACCCTGTGAACCAGAGGCGAAGTGAAGACAACGGTCTGAGTGAACCTGTGGAAGTTAATGGAATGGAGCAAACTGCTGGTACTTGCATTACATGCTGAGTAATTAGGCAGAAAATTGGTTCAGCCATTTGGAAAATAAGAGTGTCTGCTTGGTGGCAAAAAGAGAGTCCATTAATAGGCTTCAGGTTGTAGCGTCACACTGGAGATCATGAAAAGGGAAGAAGAGAGGTGTCTGCGATTGTGTGTATGTCTGTGTGTGGTGTTAACAGTAAGCCAGCACCAGAGAGAAACAGGGGGTGTCTTACCGTCCAGTGATGAGGAGGAAGAGGGTGAGGATGACCAGCAGGGAGAAGCCTCCTACAGACGCTGTGACAACCACCAGAACCTGACCTTGATCAGCAATATCAGGATCTGAGGAAAGTGAGAACAAATCAAAGCCAGGCCAGTCAGTACCTGTTACTATAACCAGCTCTCTCCCAGTGTTAAAACCACAGAACTGACACATTACTTGGTGATATGAAGATGTTGCAATTTAATGAAAACAATGGTAAAAATATATATTTATTTTCTGTGTTGCTTGATTTAAATGGGAATATTCCCTCCTGTCCTCTTTTATTTCCATGGCGGTGTGTCTATTTATTTATATATAACAAAAACTGAGCGGCAGCGTGAGACAGAGGCCGGAAATATTTCCTGATGTTTCCCCAAATAGACTAACATCTCAGTGATACTTGTTGAAATAAACACATTCATTTAGTAATCTAAAGTGCCATTTATTTTACATTTAACTGAGTTTAACTTTTTGATATTGTTGGACTTCTCCAACAGTTAATATAAAATTAAGGTAAGTAGGAAAACAGTCAAGAAACACAAAAATCACTGCACTCTGTGACATAATGCTATGTGAGAGCAAGCATTGCATGGGTTGAATAAGGTGAGAGAGAATACGGCATATTTGTAGAAGCACAATCCGAGTATATAAATGCACTGGCATATGGAAGTATGAGAATGTGAAGTTGGACATCTACATATTCATCACCTAAAGTGTGTATTTTGTAGGAGGATGTGAATTCCTGCATATTTCAGGATTAGAATCAGCAGAGCGTAATGTGTGCATCAGGAACTTACAGAGCTTATAAACATTTAAATAAATGGCTCATGCCTGAAGAAGCACTGATGAGTTTCACTGATCCATAGCAGAGAATGACCATAAAACGTATCCCAAGGATTTATAAGGTTGTTGATCAACACCGATGACTTCACATCTCTGGCTTTAAACCTCCTTTCTTCTCCAGTGCATTGTATTAAAACAAGACCTCTATCCATTGGAATTTCAACACAAATCTAACTGACCGGATGACTGAATATCAGTGCCTTTCCTTCCTAGAACACAGCCAGTGCAAACACAAACAAAGGTGCAATTCCTACATGCTCTCTCCCCCACAGGCGTACCCTCAGCTGCAGTGGAAAACTCAAAGTTGGGGCTGTACGCTGTGTAGCCAGCAGCAGTGCGGACACGAACATGAAAGACATAGACAGTTGAGGGTCTGAGGCCCGTCACAACCACGCTGGGGGTTTTGGTCCGCGTTGATGAGTAGCTCAGCTGCTCTTGCTCCTAAAAAAAACAAAAAACAGAAACAGATTGCCAGAGATGATAAATAAAAGCAAGTTTTGGCAGGACAGATAAACATGTGTTTGCATAAACCCATTATCACATCAACATTTGAACCAAACACATTTTCATCCTATTAACTATCAGAGCAGATGGTAAAAAAAGCAGAGATAGCATTGCATTAAAGATGCTCTGCACTTACACTTTCTGCACGCTCAAAATGCTAATTGTTCTGTGAGCAGTGATTGTTTGTGTGTTGCGTGATGTGTATATGTAATCACAATTAGGGTTCATTTGAGTCCAAACCACTGTTAACACAGCAATTAACACATATGTTACATAAACATGGCCTAAAACAAAATAATCAAACTATTTTAGATCAGATTGGAAGACTTTATTAATCCCCAGTGGGGAAACTCATTTGCCACCAAAAACGAATGCAAACAACAATAGACTCATACAGACAACAATAGACACAGTCCACAGTGCAAAACAGACAAAAACACATTACAAAGAATAACTAACACCGGAAAATGCCATATGAAACATGATTGACATCAGAAAGATGCTAAATCTAAAAACCACATCTAAAGGTGTTCATTAAATCAAAACAAAAATCGAACTGCTGCTGGAACGAAAGACCTTCTGAGTCATTCAGTAGAACACTGAGGCATCCTGGTGCTCTCACTAAATGAGCTTCTGAGTCCATTAAAAACAGTGTGATGGATGGCCTTCAAAAGAAACAATTATTTAGTACAATCAAAGATTTTACCTTCTCAAAGTATTTAACTTCGTAGTCCACTATGTCTGAGGGCAGCTGTTCCACTTCTGACCAGGAGAGGGCAATGCTGTTTTGAGACGACCAGTCTTTCCTGACTACACCCACCAAAGCAGGACCTGAGGATGCAGTCAGAGTGCAAGGATTTCAGCTGTGATTACAAAATAATGAACTTATTAGACTTAGTGACTAACGTATGTATAAGGATCATGTGCCAAAGAGTAATTGGTATAAGGATTGGGAAAAAAACACAAGCAAGACAAATGGCAAGTTTGCAGCAGGACTGAGCCACTCAGTCACCTGTCCAAGAAGCCCAAGGGAATGAAGAAATGAGTGATCTCAGCTATTGCTCGAGCCACTGTAGTGAACTCTAAAGTGAATCCACCGAGCTCAGAGACTTGACTGTAAAACGCATTTTAAAAGTATCTTCAGCAATCACGAAAGAACTATATCAATACTGAACAGAAAAAGTTTCAAAACTCCACACTGGAAAGGAAATCTGAAACACTGCCTGAGAAAAACACATGCTGCTACATGTTACTTCTCCAGTTTGCAGAAGAAAATCTCAAGAATAAACACTTTTGAGAAATGAAAAAACCTCATTGCAGTTTGCAAGATAATTGTTTGTGTATTACAGGAGTACCCAAAAAGAAAGGAGGGCCAAGGAGCAACTATATTACTGTCCAGCTTCATTGTGATGTGCGGCCTGAGAGAATCATTTTTGTTAACCAAACCACTGTTTATCATGTTTGTCATTATTGCCGAATTTGGGGTCGTATTTTGCTAAAGGCAGCTGAGGAGACACAAAATAACCCAGCAGAGATTCAAATATTTACCATCAATTATTCATAAAGCCTTCGCTTGAACAGAATATGATCTGGCAAACTAAAAGATCCAGTCGCTCTGTTGTGGAGCGTGCTGTTTTAGAGATCATTGTCGGAATACAAATTCAAACCCAAACTGATGTCTTAAACTGTCTCAATGCTCAGAGAAGCAGATGACCGACTAAACACAGAAGGCCAAAGGCTGGATGGGGCACTTCAGAAAGGTGAGTGTCTCAGAAGACTTGAGTGCGACTTTCACATCTTGTCAGGAGGCCAAGATTTCTTCGCAGCAGCTCTGTCCAGACACGATGCTTCACAGTCCAGCAGCTCAATGACAACTGTGTCACATTAATCAAAATATTACACTTCTGCATCACACATGTACCACACATGGATATGATCCCAATCACTGGACTGTGCTGTCTATTAAACAGTTTGTAGAGTCACATCACACGTCTGCCATGACACGTCTGTCATTCCAGATAACACGTGTCCTCTCTATCCTGGTGGCAGGTGATGCCTGAGCTGTACAGAGACGCCTGGAGATGTTGTGGGAATATCTCAAGCCTCTGAGTGTGGCCGCCCGCTGCAGTTATTAATAGCAAACAGCAGACACACCAACAAAAATAAACACTGTGTATTGACAGCACACTCGGTGCAAAAGTGCACAGGCAAGGACAAACTCCAGTGAGTTGTGATTGTCATCCATACCGTACCTGAATGTTTTAGCTCAATACTGATCAGTTTAGAGTCATTATTACAAAGTGCATTATAATAAACACGAGTTCCTTCAAACAAATCTCTCAGCAAGTTGTCAAATGTGAAATATTTTATTTTACTTATATTTATATTTATTTTTTAACATTTTATGTAGTCATATCTATTACTTTGATGTTCTCTGTAATTTTGTAAAATTGTAATATTGTATAGGTGGATGCTTCAAATAAGCCAGTTGGCTTTTTGCCTCTTCCTGCGCTGTGATATTAATTTATCTCTGTTATGTTTGTTTATTTTTATTTTATTGTTTGAATTGTGCAAAATAAATAAACTAAACTAAACTAAATATGACAGGTAGCTGGAAGTATTTCAGATTTAGCAGTGGATATTTTATTGTTTATGTCTGATTGATGTGTGAACACATGGCCAATACAATGTGAACACTGTAATCCTTAACAAAACTAATTACATTTGCACAGTACTGCATCAAATAATTATTTTCACTGATTCATCTGCTGATTATTTTCTCTGTTAATCGATTAATGTATGGTTTAGAAAATGTCACATACTGGTAAAACAAATTACTTGTGTTCTCTATTTAACAGCACAAAGTAGAAACATATTCAACTGACTATCTCATACAGCAAAGATATGGAGCAACAACTCTTTCTCTGTAATATTTAGCTTATTTTACTTAAACAATTACTAATGAGATTTTCAAAATAGAAGGATTAATTGTCCGTCGACCGTTTTAACTAAAATTTCAGCTTTAGCACACAGTACTGACAGAAATATCTGTTGTTATCCACTGTAAAAATGGAAGTATATGCAAGCAAAGGCACGCACAAAACCTGAGGCGAAGTTATCTGAAGAGGAACAGCTACACAATACATATCGCTCTATGTACGACCAGCAGAGATGTCTGAATCTGTCCAAAGTCACGTTTTGTCACTCTTCAGTTTGTAATAAAAAAACAAAAGTTCCACATAGATCACAAGTATGTTTGTTATGGCTTATTGCTAGTTTTACAAGCATTTAAAACCATGAAAGGATTCCTTGCATAGAATCCTCAAAATCATGCATTAACTGCATTAAATGCATCATGCATTTAAATCAATAAATGAAAGTGTAACTATATGGGCTTGTGATATTAATTAATCAGTCAAAACATATTAAAGCAAGAATGATGTCCATGAATTTCATGTTTTAATCGGAAATGATGTTTTTCAGTTGGCACCAGTGAAACCAGATAAATATGCATAACCCACTTATGGGATAAAAATGTCCATGAAAATCACATTACTAGAGGGGATTTCTTTTTCAGCATATGGTATAATGTTATGTATCTATCACCATGCATGTATGTGTGTGTGTGTGTGTGTGTGTGTGTGTGTGTGTGTGTGCTTGAGCAGTGGGGTTTTCTGTGCATGGATATTTTGTGAGAAACTCTCTAAAAACCCTCTGAACTCTTACGCAAGAAGCTATTTTAGGTGCAGGATAAATCAATCTGTTGGTTAGAAACCTAATGCTATGTATGAGCGGCTCAAAGAAAACAGTTGCAATCAATACAGTTTGATCACGATTCACACGTCAAAAGCGGATTGAGAACGAATGAACTCTATAGATGGTTTATTGGCAACATCTGAAAATAGGTTAACCCTCATCTATAGATGAAGAAAGGGGGGAGGGGTAGAAGACAGAAAGAGTTAACAGGGAGAGCTGTAAAGAAATCCCACGAGGTTGCATCCCACCAGCATCTGAGTATATAAATAGACGTCAGCCTTATTCCCACAGCAAAGGAGATGAAAACGGAAAGGGAATCCACTGGGGGAAAGGGGAAGAGAACAAAGTAAAACAGAGAAAATCTCCTGGATCAGGACACCGCAAAACATTGGGAAATGTTCACACATGGATTCAGCATGTGTGACCTTTGCTTGACTCTTGTTATTGTTTTGTAAAGGAAAAAATGTTGATGAAAACTAGATTAAACATTCACATGTGAGATAGACTTGAGTATAAACCTCTCCTCAGGACCCTTTTACCCAAATGTTTTAACTTGTCACCAGCCCATAGAAAGACATGCATACAGCACACCAGTCACATTAACATTTACAGTATACTATATATGTACATTTAGACATCGTGTTCTAATAGTGTGAAACACTTATACGCTTGTAAGGGTTATAAAAAGCAAACGTTCACGTGCAAGAACTATCTAGAAATCCTGGTTCTTAATCTCAAAACATTGCTGAAAGACAAACATGATAAACCAGCCCAACAATGTTATGCACTGTTAAATAGAGTAAAAATATGCTCAGAACACACTTTGGGAATCCTCCTGAAAAGTTGCAACTGTCGGTCTTCGCCTTGTACTGGCATTGACGGCTTGTGGTTTCTAGATTGTTGTATAAGAAGAAAGATGAGGGTAATCCATTAGGAAAACAGCCCTAATTGATTGACAGTGCCAACAGTGCCAGACAGCGCAAAAACAAACATTTATGCCATGGAGAGGCATAGATGTTAAAAAAAAGTGCCAACAGCATGCTCTAAGGTGCTCTACTGTTTGACAATCCTAAAATGATGTCATGGTGATGAAGTCACTGTTCATGTGAAGCTGTAATCAAACTATGTACCACAGAAATGCACACTCATGCACACTCATAAACGTGAAGTGACAACTCACTGATCGTTCAAACCTTTGCTATTGTCAAATATTACCAATAATGAGTCCGCTGACAATAAAAAACTTATTACTAATACTACTGATCTGTAGTAACAGTAGCAGAGCAATAGAGCCTCGAATTAACTGGAAGACAATGAGCACAACTCCGTTGAGATTTCACCATTTAAACCGGCAGCTATTCGATTTTGATTATCTCAGAATCAATGCATCATTAAATCATTTTGCGAATGATTTGATTCGATGTAATTCAATTAATTTAGATTCTTCCAGGCTTCACAAATATAAAACGTGTGCCACAACCAAAACACATGAAAACTCCACAAGTGTAATCTTTTTTTTCCAAACTTTCAAAGGCTCAACAGCGGAATTTTCAGCCTCTACTAGTCTAGGACCCAATCTTTTATCTTACATGAGCATTACTTTTAACACGGAGTGAGTCTATCTTTGTGGTCGTCTCTCTGCTCCTGTCACAGGAGCGCTTTGTTCCTCTGTGCAGCAAACACCTCAGACATGTTTGCACTGATTTCTCTCTGCCTCGTCACAGAATGCTGCAGTGAACTTTGTGGGAGGAATCGTCAGTGAGAAACGCTTCGCTGAGCAATAACTACAGTGTTTTTGAGTGGAGTGCAGTTCGCTGTTCGTAAACACAGCGATCATCCTGCTCACACTGCTGTGCGTTGCTGCCTTGAGAGGCTTTAGGACAACAGCTGCTGACCTTCATCAGCTTCAACAAGCCTCCTGCTTTACAGAGTGAAATAAAGTGTGGAGGAGAGTGCTCACAAAGAGGCATGCCAGATGATTAAATGTGTCTTCTGAGAATCTGTGACTAAATAAATATTGCTCAGCTCTCACTGCTACAAAACTGAATGATAACTCCAGTGTATCATATCGTCGACAAAGGCAATAAACAGTCCACTCTGTTCAAAGATAGAGCGATCATACGTATGGCTAAACTGGGCATTATAACTTATCAAGGTTAGACAAGCACACAGGCATTAGGGAAGAGAAGGTTTAGCATAATTAAAAGAATAATGAGACATTAATATGCAATTTACAAACAGATAGCATGCCAACAGAAAATAAATGGTGCCCCCTCCTTCACACACACAAAAAAAATCTGTTAATTGCTATTTCTGCTTTTGATTGGTTATCATTCCATCATTGACATAATATCACAATCAATTACGTGAATCATCTTTCAGCAACTGCGTTAATTGGCAATGAGCCTGTCCATCCAAAGTCCATCCAAACAAAAGTTTAGACAGATTTACAACAAGCCTCTGTCCCAGCTCAACGAGCATCTACCTCATCTGAACTTATAGTACGTTTTTGAGTGCTTGACGAATGCTTTGCATTTAACAACCATCTAATATTGGTCTGTTATTACATGGCCTTATCAAGAGGCTTCTTGAAAGATTTTCCTCTATGTACAGCTAAAATATATATACATTTTAAATACCACATGCATGCTACCTGTTCAATTACATGTGTGGGAGATAAGCACGTGTGATGCTATGAATTACCGGTGGACTTATGTAAACATTTCAGTCCAATGAACTACAAAAAATGATCCCTGTGTGTGGGAGACAGAAAAACGAGAGTGAGCACAGGGAAGAGCTGGGAATGACTAACGGACCATGTGCAAAGCTGTAGGTGGTACACATGGGTGAAGCAAATGTGTGTGCGAATGTCATATGTGTATGGATTTGTTTGCCTGCTTGTTTGCATGCTTGCCTGGCTGTGTGTGCATTCAGTGTGTCTACCTAGGAGAGGCAGTTTGACAAGTTAATCCATTCTAAATGTCCTAATGAAAACATCCCCACAGGCTTCTTCTCATCCTCGACAGAGATTATTTTGCATTACAACTTCCTCTCATCAGTCGAGCTGCTTTTGCCAGAGAGATGCGTGTGAAGTGTCACAAACACACCTGGCATCCATGGTATGATGACAGCCTATCAGCAAAACATTTCTAAAAATCAAACTTTGAATATTGATTCGTTTTCACTGTATACTATACAGCCACAATAAATGACTGTTGAAGTAAATTGACTGAATTGTTGAATTAACTTCTCTTGAATGACGGCGATATAATCATGAAGACCTTAGCAACCATACACTCCATATTACCTGAGAAACTGAGAGAAGCAGAAACCCAAATATACTAAATCCTGCAAAGAAGAGGCAATAAACACAAAAGGGTTGATAACTTGATAGAAAGAAAATGGTTGTATTTTTTAATTTAACAAAGTCTGGTGCTGGTCCACCACTTTGGTCCAGACTGAAATATAACTACTCAATTGACTGCCATTACATTTGGTATGTCCATTCATGTCACCCCTCAGGATGAATCTTACCCACTTTGGTGATCCCCTGACTTTTCCTCTAGCGCCACCATCAGGTCAAAATTTTATTTTGGCCAATAATTCTATTTACTTCTAAATAACTGCAAACTAAAAACTGCAAAACATTCAACCGTAGCTATATTTTATGCATTGCGCTAATTAGCAAAAGTTTGCATGCTAAGGTGCTAAACTAAAATAGTGAACATGGTTATTAAAATTAAACTTGCTAAACACCAGAATGCATCGACAGAACTCCAAGTCTTGTTTAAATAGCAAACAGCACCATTCTGATCAAGGTACCACAAAACTGAGACTGAGAATTCAGACCAGATGAGACTTTGTTCCTGCCATCTATTGTACACATACAGTAATTGGACAAACAGCCATCTGTAAGCCTACAGATTGGCTGTAATTGTAGACTAAACTTTCAGCTTGTTGTCTCAAAAACACAAATAGTGGAAAATAAGATAAACTGTTGTATGATATGTATGTTTTGTTGCACTTCCTTTTAGTCTGCAGAATACAAATGACAAACTGCAACAATCTTACTGCTAAAATCATGGCAGCCTATTATCACACACAAAGACAATTTTTTAGTCTGTCTTGTTGTCATCAGAAATTCCTGGCTTGCTAGAAAATGTGCACATACATCCCAGTACAATTTATTAATCCACTCCCTTTCCTTCTTTCATTTCAACCTTCTCCATCAATCATGCCATCAATATTCTTGCCCTTAAAATATCAGGTTCAGGATCCAGTCGTCACTAGAACATTCAGGTCTCTTATTTTTCCCAATTCAAGCCAAAGAAAGTGCTTCCTTGAGGACATCTATCAGTAGTTGATCTCAGGTCAGCCGGATATTGCTAATTAGGACTATAGGTTCAGGTCATAATGGCTCCGTCAGCTATTCAAGGGTCAGAGTTGTGCTTCACTTTTTGACACATTAAGCTGGACGGAAAGACAAAGACTGTGGAAAAAGACACAGGGTTTTCAGGAGGGGGAAAGGCAAATCTAGCTGCAGAATAAATAAACGTTCCTGCTACTACAGCATAAATATCTCAATCTGCTCCCATGCAAACACAGTATTTATGAGCTAAAAATCTGATATTATGTAACTACAGCATCTGCATACACAGTATGTCAAGCATAAGCATGCATATTTAACCTATATTAATATTTTAGAGCAAAATATGGCTAGTTGAATGTTAACTCTCAACAATCTGTCCACCAGAAGGTCAACAAATGGAATACATAAACTGCAGATGTCTTGTAAACAAAACATTTCTTTTTTTAGGAACAATTAAGTCAACAGCGTTCTATAGCTACTGTGCACCAAAGTTGCTGAATTCAACTCAAAGCCTTGAGATACAGTTTAATTGATCAAACACAGAGGACAGTCATATTACCAGTAATCACAAGTAAGAGACTAAGCATTCAACCTAAACTAGCCCCACACATCCAGTCCACATTTAATCCGACAAATGCCCAAAAAGGTAAAATGTGGACTATTTTTTCACATCCTATTATAAATCAATTTAGTATTTTTGGGCAACACCTTGTTAATGCTCATGTGAGTTAGGTAGTTAGGTGTACAAGGTATTTTTGTATTGCAGCAAGATAAACCTGTGAAGAAGTAACCTGCTCGTTTGTAAACTATTTTTTATCGGTTTTGCTTGGCTCCCTGCCATCCCACCGGCTGAATGGTCCACTGGGAAAATTCCCACCTTTCCAGACGGCCATTTTGCCCGTGCCAGCAGGATTAACATGATGAATGTGTCGCAATATTTTGTAGCCTACCATGTACTATTTCAGCCCTGCAAACTGTTTTTAAATCGATTTCAATTGTTAAAGAATTCATGGCCACAACTAACAACTGTTTTCATTATTAGTCTTTTAAATATGTTTTAAAGTTATACTTGAATCAGAAAATAATGTTAAAATAAGACCGTGGAGCCCATTGTGAGGTCTCTGATTTGTTTTTTGCGCTACCACCGGTCCAGAACCCAAGGTATTTCAATCACAGTGATGAGAAACAGAAATGCTTGGCATTATTGCTTAGTAAATGACTGTCTAAAATGTTTGCAATTAATCGTCTGTTGATGGATTAATCCATTAATTAGCTCTCTGTTTAATCTGTTTACTCATGAAATTAGTAATAAATTGTAAATCTTATCCAAGTCAAGAATATCAACATAATTTAATTCTGTGTGAGGTACATTTGCTTGTCATCATTGCCACCGCTGGATTTGAAGACAGTGCATCAAACAGAACTGCAAAGTAGCACTGAAGTGAACAAAAGCTCTGCAACTCACCAGCTTGGTGTGTATTGACGGTAACATTCGCCAGCGAGCGTGCAGACACCCCCAGCCCAGAAACGCCGTTTGCCGCCTCTACATGGAAGGTGTAGTTAGCGTGCGTCGCAAAATCTAATATTGCCACAGAGGTACCAGTCAGACTAAGCGGCCGTGGGATGAACCGCAGGTCTGGCTCACATGGCTCACACTGTGTCACACCACTGTCACCGTCTCTTCCATCACAGCGCTGGCACAGGATGTTGTATGTGATGTCCTTCCTGCCTCCTGTGTCGCTGGGAGGTATCCACTGCAAGAAGAGAGCCGTGTCATTGATCAATGAGACCAGGTTCCTGGGAGCCGAAGGAGGCCCTGGAGGGAAAGAAAAGGCAATCAGAGAGAGATTACGCATTGATAACGCACTTTATCACGTATTGTGCAAATATATGTACAATACGTGTGCAAACACATGTAGAGGGGTTTGGTTATTGCCTGATTGAATAGAGTCAACCAAAACACATGATTTATAATCAATGGTGCCATTTTAGATTCTTTAGACCTCTTGGGAGATCCACTAAGTGTGTCTACGGTTTAACAAAAAATTATGAAATAAGCAGCAATAACACCGTACTTGTGGAATACTACTGTGCAAAAATGCAGGTTTGTATGCAAGAGTCAGTATTAAGTATAACAGCAAATACACCACTCATCTGACCTAAAGTGAATGAAGCTTAATTGGGCACATGATCACCAAAATCTGTCAATTAAAGGACCTTAAGCAGCAAGAATGTGAATCTGTCATGTGATGTGTGTGCGATGTGCGTATAAGTGTGTGTGGGTAGATGGTTGGTTTTCAATCTATTTTGCAGTATTTTATTCTAACAGCCTGTGTATCAATTTCTTGGATAGTACACAGATCTGATGTTTTTCCAATTTTCAAAACTCTGCAATGTCTGGTTTGGCAAAGTGACCAGAACTGAAGTTCGTGTGAGTGAGTGAGTGTGTCTTTAAATATGTGTTAGTTAGTATGGGTGGTAAGCTTTCAGAGTGCCCTAAGTGTTTAATTCCAGCATGCTACTTGTCAATTACATGGATGCTACTTTATGTCTATAAATGAGGTACATCATAATTGATTTTTTCAAAATTTAAATACGGAGGCTTATAGTTATGGAGGCATAGATCTAAATTTAGCTCAATCATCTTGCTAACATAAAAAAGTGCAAATAGATTGGGGAGGGATGGGATGACCAAAATAAATTACAGACATGCAAACAGGAACTAAGAATGACCCAGCTGAAAAAAGAGAGTTTTAGTAACTGCTTTACTGACTTGTACAAGCCATGGTGGAGGAGTCTTTGATAGCTCTGTAGAAGCCTTTGTCGCAGTGACAGATGGTGGCGGCCTGGTCATGGCTGGAGCTATGTGGAGGACACTTGGAGCATTCAGTGTTCCCAGCATATGCTTTGAAGAAGCCAGGCTTACAAGCTGGAGAAAAAGAGAGGTTGCAGGAAGACGCCAGTCACACAAGTTCAATGTTCATCTTGCAATTGCATTTACATCAACACACACACATTTAATTACATGTTCAGCTGCTTCTCTCCTCACCTGTGGTCTGACATACTATTGGAGATGCACCGATACTGATATCGGTCCATTCAAATAGCTTGATTGGGTATCAGTGACAATGGGCCGATCTGGTATCGGATACCATTATTTTGATAAATAACAATTCAGTTAATTTCGATCTATATGTTTACTTGTGACATTGTGTTTCACAAAGTTAGGAAAGCATTGTTTAAGTCAAGCCTGATGCCTGTTGCTGTACACATAAAAGAATGATCCCAGTCACTTCCACACAGTGGAATTATTAATTAAACGCTGGTATTGGATCGGTACACAGTATCGGCCAATAGCCAAAGCCCGGGTATCGTAATCGGGACTGAAACATTTAGATCAGTGGATCTAGGTACAATGGATCACTGTTATCTTATCTGCCCCATGCTTAAGGTGCTGTTCATTGTCCAGTCTAACAAACGGCAAACCCCTGTAAGGCCCCATTTCTCCCACAGCACCACATCTTCTTTTTTTTTCATTGTGGTCTAGGCATTTCCGTTAACGTTAGGTGTTTTAGTTGTTGTATAAAAATAGGCTGAACAGGAAAAGGTTGCTTATGTCAGGCTCCCTGTTACGATCCAAAAGTCGTCAAGAATGTCAGGAACATTACCTAAAAAAAGTGTCCAGTGAAAGGCAATGGACTGGAGCTGGTGACAATACTACGAAAGGCCCGTCCTCGCCTCAGCCTCCAGATACTGTATTCACCAAGTTGTGGAAAATACTCTGGAGCCCCACAAAGGAAAGTTGGTATTGTTTGTCTGGCATGTTAAAAAAAAGCTATTAACATACAAATAATGTATTATGAAAATGCAATTATAGTCTGCTTTCAGACTAAAACCTCCATCCACTTAACTGGTCCATTCTACTGACCTAAGTATTCTGCAGTTTTCCGCCCTTACCCCGGTTTACTTTCCGACCTCATTACTTCCTCCAGTTCTCTCCTGTTTGACCTTTCCATTTATTTTTTTTCCCATCTATTCAACCAACTCTCCTTTCCTTATCTCTCCAATTTTTTTTTAACTGTTTTGCTCTGCCACACATCTCACCCTTTCTTTGATTTTTTTATTTCCATTTTTCTTCCAATATTTTTCCTTTTCCCATCCATCCTCCTGCTGTCCTCTGCTTCGCTCTTTCCCTCAAGGCTTATCAGAAGATGACAAAACCATTGCAGATTGCCTCCTTCTCCCCAGACTTATCTCAGCAGACACAAATAAAACACTAACAGTGTGATTATATAATATTCTGGGAATCTGGAGATCATTTTTGCAGAGTGATTTGTATGAGAATATATGTGTGGGTAGATTTTATAATTTCAGCATTCTAATAATTTCCCCACAATACCTACAAGTAGGGAGCCACATTTGTTTACTTTCTTCCTCGCATCATCAGAGACAAAGACCATATAACATAAGTCTGTTGTTGTATGATGCATTATCACCACTATAATCCTTCTGTTGATACAAGCGCTTTCTATTATACAGAGATAAGTTTCATACTATATGTCGCATGAGCGATGTCCAGCCGCTACCCAGTATCTGGGTACTCCTTGTAAGAAATGATTGTTAGTGCATTGACTATCCTGGTAAATTGAAAGGAAATTAAATGAAATTGCTCCTTCTCCTTATATTCATGTAGTAATGGAGATTAAAATTCAGTAGTTTTAGGTACACTAAATCCCTCAGATTATAAAGCGGACCAACTGATGCAGTATCTCTAGCATCTACATGTTTGTCAGCTTAGGAGACCTGTGGGAGAGTACAGGTTGAATGAGGATAAGACTTCCTACCTCAGGCTAGACTGTTGTTACGTGAGTCTACCCGAGGCTAGAAACTTGTTAGAGTGCCATCACCAGCTCAGTTGTTCATTCGGTAGATAATACAATTCACTCTCAATTCACTGTGTAGAGACCACCTGTAGAAGAGCAGCCTGTCACACCAGCCTGGAATATACTATGTTGAGAAAAGACAAGTCTTGAATACGTCTCCCCTTCTTCCCAATCAGAGGTCCATCAGAGATTGATCTTGTTGAGCTTTGACCATCAAAATATTTCACCAATGATGCATAGTGAGTGGAATGAATCTCATCTCTTAGCAATCTAAAACTATATCATGTTATCGCTGTCAATATAACTGTAACCCCTCGACTGTCCATGGAAAATACCATGTTTTGATTGGCTTTCACGTGTTGATGAATTATAAAGACACCTGAAGCTAAAAAAATATGTAAAAATTGCCATCGTCTTTTCTTTTTGTTTGACGGAAAGATTTATGAATGCTTCTTTATGAATGCTTCTTTTCACCGCAGTACACCAGTAAGTTTAAGCACCAATTCTGGCTTCACCTCACCACCAGATTTAGAGCTACAACTAAAAATGATCTGTTGTAGATGAATCTGTTGATAATTATTTGTATTCATTTGGTGTATGAAATGTTAAGTTCTGAATGCCTGAGCTGCTGACATCTTAAAATTGCCCATTTGGTCCAACAAACAGTACAAAACTAAAAAAAATATTCAACTTAAATCAAGCAAATCCACACATTTGAGAAGATGACACCAGCAAATATTTGACATTTTTGATTGTAACATTTCAACAATTATTGGATTATCAAAGTAATTTCCAATTGATTTTCTGTTGCATGACTAATCGATTAATGGACTAATTGTTGATCCATTTGAATTTGCTTTCTTTACAGCTAATTTGTAGTCTGTCTATTTTACATATACAGTATATCTTAAAACTTGGTGGAAAAAGGTCATTACAGTATTAAATCAAACAAAGTTCAGTGGTTTTGACTGAGAGGACGAATGAGAGATGACAAGCAAGGTAGAGTGAAAATGAAATATGCAAGAAGTAAAGAGATACAAGGAAAAAACAATCTGCATAAACAGGTGGACATAATTGAGTACAAAGATATGTAAAATGGATGAGATGAAATACTGACACACAGACAGATATCCTCGCCAAAATCGCATTGCTGCTTAGCTCCTAATGGGAAGAGTAATGTGTCACCCAGCTTCCAATTTTTGAGGCACCTCAGTCACTTGGATATTACTTTCCTCCTATGTTGAGCTCCTGCCAAAGGCAACAAACACACAGATTCATTTGAATTTCCAGCTGCTCCATGCTCTACGGTGTTTGCTGGCAAGATCACCACCAAAAAGCAATTACAATACTCATAGCACTATTTCTATCAAAAAGTTTGAAAACACCCCCCCACCACCCCCCAACATGTGTGCACACACACCGGCACATAATGAGATCCAATTTGTACCCTATCAGCTGTTTGGCTTTTCGTCATGGAACACATTGTTATTCAAGGAGCAATATTGGCACAAAATAGGTATTCCTATTCAGAGCAAATACTGCTGTCGACAGATAACATACAACAATGAAGCAGACAGAGGTACGTTTTCACCAGTTAATAGCATCAGGGCCGAAACCAATGATTCTTTTTTTTAATTATCAATTATTCTGCAAATTATTTTGTTGATTAATCAATTAATCATTTGGAGTATTACATGTCAGAAAATAGTAAAACATGTACATTTTAATTTTTACACTGCCCGAGGAGATGTCGTTTTTTATTTATTAATTTATTCAACAGTCCAAAAATTCCAAAGATGTTAAATTTACTTTCGTATAAAGACAAAGAAAATCAGCAAAGCCTCACATTTGAAAAGCAGGGAAAAGTGAATGTTTGGCACTTTTGCTTGAAACATTACTAAAATGATTAATGGAATTAATAAAGACATGTTTTTCGTTTTAAATGAATCAACTAATTGACTAGTTGTAGCTGCTTTAAATAACTTCAGTCTTTTTTTGACGAGATTGATGTTACCAGTCTTGATGATACATGATAACTTTTTTTACATTAAGATATGAGATAAGATATACTTTATTGTCCTGCAAGGAAATTTGTCTTGGGCTCCAATGTGAAAACCTGAGTCACATTCCATGTATTCGTACGCATACATGGCCAATAAAGCTGATTCTGATTCTGATTCTGAAGCCGCTACATCACACAAAACACTTGCCAGCGTCACAATCCACATGCACGCATACCACACAGATCCAAAAATACACTCATGCATAAACATGCTTAAATACACATACCGTCAATAGTTACTTTATCCTGCAATTATTATTTTGCCCACTTGGAGGCAGTGCAACAAGATCTACGTTATATTATCAACTCTACACACAGCTCTGTATTGGTCTCCACCAACTAGACTACTAAGGGGAGTATGTGGCTCTTTAGCTGCTAAATGCTCCGCTACTTTTACCAGTAGTCGCTAACTTTGTCTGAGTGGTGATGGCAGTGTATAGTGGGTTTCTAGAGTGTTTTCGCCTAAAGCAGCTGTCTGCCTGCTAAAAACATTGCTAATAAGAGCAGTGAGTGAATCAAAACAGTAAAGTTGCAGACTGGAAAACAAAAACAATGACCTACAAGATGCTGTGAAGCTTTGTCGAGCTAAGGCGGAACTGCAGCGAAATTCTCTCTGGGTTCATCACTACAGGTGATCGCTTTTAAAATGCACAGTATTTTGATCCTTAAAAATTTTGATCAGAGCAGCTTAAAAAATACACTTTTCTAAACACCTTGCAGTGATTAAACTTTGGCATATAGGTCAACAGTAGCACTTAAGAATGTGAGAAATTTGAGTTTAAATAGATATCCTACAGGGGGCAAAGGAAGTTCATCAACTGCACATTTGCAGGAATTAAAGACATGCCAACCAAGAGATTTTGAGTTGTTTGGGTGTGTAGAATTGGAAGTTTTCTCTTGGCTTTACATTGTCAGAAACAGATGGAGCCAGATACTATGTTTACCCTGGACTCTCAGCTTTGATATGCAGATGGGAAGTTCACAGAGAATGAGTGATGCTCTAGTCTGGCTGAGCTGCGTTAGAGGCGAGAGTAAACACAGTCCATACTGGACAGAGGAGGGGAGCAGTGGCTCAGATACAGCTAAGAGAATGTATTGATTTCATCATTTCCTATTCCACTTTACCTGAATTCAAGGTCACTAGGTTGTACTTTCCCTGCCTGATCAATCCTGTGTCTTGAGACAGCAGAGGTCATCAGTGAGCAAGCTAAGTTTTGGCGATTTCTGGAGAACTCTGACACGGATGGGTCAAAAGGACAAAGAGAAAAGGGAAAACACTAATGGACTTTGTAGTGTGTGATTCTGAAAATCATTCATCTTTACAGTAAGAAGAGAAACTGATATGTGTTTGTATTGACTTCATAAAAAGTACGGGAGGTGTTAGCTGCCAAACTGATCAACTAAAAAGGTTTTGCTCAAACCAAAATATTTGAATATAGAAGATGTTTTAGTTATTGCATAATCAGTTAGCTTAGTGGTAGGTTTTTGGTTATGTCTACATATTCATTCTGATTCAAATGAAATTCAAAAAGACGTCTCTATTAGCTTCCCCCACAATTCACTGCCTCCTGTTGAATATAATTGTGTGACGAAAGGATGTGGAACAAATAGCGTTAGCACCATGATGTTGTCTTATCTAGGTCATGAGATAACCAGCCTATCTCTGAGTAATCCTCTTGTGGCTGAGACTGAATGAAAGGAATAGAATAATAAAACACTCGATTGAGATGTCAAAACAGTCTGGCAGAATGCTATTGGGGTGGAAAGCAGGGTTTGATAAGCGCTGATGCCTTTGTTTAGGCAGCTGGGAGGGAAAGATGGACGTGTTCGCGCAGAGCTCTGCTTATATTTGAGAGCGCTGGGGTTTTCCCTATTCTCTCTCACACTCTCTCGCTCTCTCTCTCCCTCTTTTGCTCTTTCCCCATGCTGCCTCTCAGACAGCTTTGATCACAGTACCCTTTGAAGCAGTGTTCCAAAATGAAAACGAGGAGAAAGCAGAAGTCACCGCAAGTTCATGCCTAAACTTCCTGAACTACTTGCAAAGTGCACATCTTCATTACAGCACAAGCTCTGCAGGAACTATGCAAAATATTCATTCAAGCCATAAATCATTAATTGCAAGGCCATAATGCTTTGCTACTATCGATCACCTCTTCTAAGCTAATGTTAATGAGTTCAAAGATGCAGTTTGAGAATGGCACAGCAGATCAAACTCGATAGAACCCGACTGTAACCAATAGAGCAGTATCTCTGGCTTCCTTTACCCAAGATGCTACAACAGTATTTCAGAGAAGGGTGAATCGAAAAAGGAACAACCATTTTGGGAAATATGCTTGTTTTCTTTTTAGACATAGTGAGACAATAAGTTTATGTCCAGTGCAGAGATAACTTTGGGAAATGTTTAGCAGACACAAAGACTGGACCGCAGAGGAAACTGCTGGTCTAGCTTCGTCAAAACTGAATACTGTTGGCCTCATAACAGTTTTTATGTATCATTTACTTGTTGTGTTTCGCTGATATGCTGTACATGCAGTAAGTATATGTGTAAGTGAGTAATGCATTACCATAACAGAGACTGTAATGTAGTGACTGGCTACATCAATCACATAGGTAATTGTGTACAACTCACTAATTTATCTTAATTAATACCAGTATGGCCGTTGCATGTGATGACATGCCCTCTGAACTAAACTTTAGGTGCATTTACTCAGGTCAGCTCATGGTGTCTGCCGAAACTGATTTCTAAACCACACATTATATATCTGTATAACTCACCTCATTAAAATCATTTTCATGTAAGTAAACTTGAGGCCAGGGATTGCCTGCCTTGACTGAATAAATATACAGTATATGGATGCGGAAACACAGACGTCATGGACGATACCTGATCAATAAAGTCAGTATCACCGTAGATACTGATCCGGCATATTGGATCGAGCATCCCTAGTATGTACTGTACGTATATTCACATACAGTATTATTGTGTAGCATTAAATTCTTGGGATTATATTACAATTATTTTACTGCTGACAAAACAAATTGTGTGACTGATGACTATGATAGGAGCTGTGTACTGTTAGTCATTATAAATTATCCAGCTAGCTTTACGAGGTTAGAATCAAGACTAGAGTGGCAATACTACTTGCCGTCTTGGAGATAACGAATACCAAGAGTATTTGTGAAAAATATTTGTGTTGGACAATCATCCTCAAATCTCCTTGAAATCAGTTCCAGTTGGGCAACAGGATGATATATGCTGTGAGACGATAACGATCTGTCAACTGTCGGACTTTTTGCTGTAGCGTTATTACTTTGATAGCTGTCCTTTATATCTCTGGTTGTTGTATTCGACCATTGTGGACTGTGTTGCAAATCAACAGCAGAACTGGTTTATTGGCAATATTAGATCTGTACATGATTTTTACATAAATGTGATACAATAACTTGTTCAGCTGCTTATTTTCCTGGATTACTTGAAAACAAACATTCCTATCTGGTTGTTTAATCCATGAGCAGTCTCTAAATAGGTTTTAATTAATATATATATATATATATATATTTCAATATTGCAACATAAAATCTCCTACTGTCAACTTGAGGTGTCTGACAACTTAGCTTTGTCAATTCAAAGAACGTGCAGTACATATGAGTGAATAAATAGACAAGCATACATTGTTTTCCAAGTGTCCAGTGGGTTCCTGCTACATGAGTTACCGACCCGTTCATTGTAGCGGCTGTCAAGATCCCCTAGACACTGTTGCAGCTACAGTACAATCGAGAGCAACTACTGTCAAAGGGGAGGAACAGGGAGAATATAAATGCAGGACATATACGAGGGACACCATGAGAGTGCTGGTCCTAAGCTGCCGTCTCATCAGTAATCTCTCCTGACAGGCTTCTGTGTTGTTTAACTACATCTCTGAGATGATTGAGAACAAGAGAGACAAAGGATAAATACGAAGCACGGAAAAGAGCAGGAGAATTACCCCCGCAGAGCGAATGAAGGAGATACAACAGCCTGCCCTACATATCAACTGTGCTAATGACTGTTGGAGTTCTCACTGTAATAACCTGAGTAACCATATCACCACAGGGGTACATGCATTTCACCCCAACCAGCTGAGACTTCTGTAAGTCGGCAAAATGTAGCAAGTAACAGGAGGTGCACTTAAATTGTAATCATGGAGTGTGGCTCCATTTACCTGCCTTAATTACAACAGCAAGTCTGAGCTTCGTAAATTAAAGAGCGGGTTGGGGGAGTTTAAAAAAAGACTATAGGTGCAAGCTAAATTAGCTGTGAAACTAACAAATGAAGGCAATTAGCCAGCTAGCCCCCAGTCTGTCTGCATAGTCTAATTGGGAAACCAGGCCAAAGACTATCTGGAACAACTCAACAGTTTCTTTAACATTTTCTTAATCCGTTTTGCTGACGAAAGGCCATATTTTAATAATGCTGATACAACTAATTAGAGAAGAGGCATCCTAAAAAAAGCCTTTCACATAAACTTTGTGGTATTTATCAAAGTTGTTAGATTGTTAGTGTTTATGTAAATGCTATGTGGGTGAATGTTTGCATTTATCTACCACAGCATGATATGTATCAAGACAACAACTGACATATAAACAGCAGAAAGCCAAAACAGCTTGATATTTAAAAAAAGACTTTCCCATTTGTACCAAATAATTGAAATAGTCCAGAAGGTTCCTCATAAGAGCCATTTTGAAATGTCAAATGAAAATACTCAGTGACATACACTAATCTCTTCTTATCCACATTGTTTAGGGTCTCATAGCAGAAAAGGATGGTGATGAGACACAGCAGCAAGAGTGAGAATGAAAAGGGAGAAATGAAAACAGAGCAAATAAAGGGACACGGAGGGAGAAAGGAGGGCATGTAAGTGAAGCAAAACAGAGTGGACAAGAGAGGAGAGAAAATGATGAGAGGCAGGGGGTGGAGCTGTGAAGAGATGACGAACGATTGAGAGGATCAGACAAGGATGCAGGATCTTAGAATGAGAGGAGGGAATAGCAGTTCTGTAAACTCAAACTGCTGCAGATGAGTGGGGAGGCCCTGGAGATCTGTTTTTGCAATGCCTTCTCATCTCGTCTCCCCATTTTCTCTCTCACCATTTGATTCATTCTCTGTATTTCCAGCTTTAGTTCACTGTTGTGCTCTAAAATGAGTAGAAACCCAAACACACTCCTTACCCCGGCAGCGGCCATCCATCTCCTCGTGGCCAATACTACAGACACAGCGGCCCAGGGGTACCAGCCAGTCTCCATCAGCACCACAGTACAATTTGGGTGTGTCCCTCTCTTCTGCATTCTCCACACATGCGCCCCTTACTTCCACCAGAGAGGATGAGTCCATATGTGGCACCGTGTCAGGAAATGCTGCCAGGTTCCTTAAAGTCGACGGGCAGCGTTTGTAGAACACCTTAGAAGAAGGAAAAACAGGAAATTGAAGTACTGCCAGTCTTGTGAAAGAAATAGAATTGACAAGTTCATAACTGCATTTCATGCAAACATAAGTTGCACCGCCTCTGTTCACTGACCTTGACAGACACGAGGGCAATACAAGCTCCCACATCCTGGAAGGCCAAGTAGAAGCCCCTCCGTGTCACCGGTCCCACCTCCCTGACCTCGGTATTGAGGCGGAGAACCCGATCTCCAAGATCTGTCTGTGTAAAACTCTCATCTGCTGCTATGGTGTCCACCTTGAAGCCAACAACAAACACCTCATTAGCAAAGTTGTTACTGAATCATACCAGTAGCACAACAGGGAACTTTTTTCCATGATGCGGCTCCCATAACCAACCTTGGCATAGTCAGTAGGCCTGAACCGTGTCCCTGCAGAGAGCGGTTCTTCGGTCTGCAGGTAAAAGAGGTTGAAGGTTTCCTTACAGGTGCCAGACACCCAAGGAATGGAGTTGCAGTCTCTCAGTGTGAAACGCAGCTCCACATATACCTGAGTTAAAATATAGATTAATTAATAAATCATCCCAAGCTCATTTAACATCTCAAATATAGGCCTATTAAACATTTTGCCGTCAGCTCTACCTATTGCTTGACCAATAGTAGGCTTTTGTTTACATGTTATACAAAAATCAGTTCGGTGCAAGCATCAGAACAATTAATGAATCAATAGAAAGTAATTCAAATAGTAAAAAAAAGACAACACAAAACTACAAACAAGTAATAGTAAAAAGAGTAAAATACAACCCACGAAAAAATGTATAAGTCATTCAAAAATCTCACAAGACAATAGTAGCACAACCAGGCTACTGCTTTCTTGTCTTGTCACTTGTCTTCTCACTAGCAGTAGTTAGTGATACAGCTCAGTTTCAGACATAATGAGTGACAATCCAGTCGATGTGCAAAGAAGAAATACTCCATCTTTGATCTATCATGCACTGTTCTGTATTGACTTCAATGGAATCTTCTCTATCAGAGTGAAATCATGTGTTGTTTTTTTTGTCTGCCATTTTTCCCCTGACACTTTGCGGTTGGAGACAATGTCACAATCAGGCTCTGAATCAAGACTACTTCATTGGATTCAAATTTCTTGCCAAGTAAAATGTGTCTTAGGGAAGTGATATGTGGTCCAGACCTTCTGTGCAGCCTGCCGCTGGATCCATCCAGACCGTAGCCAGTTGTTCTGGTTTGGCTCCATTACGTGGCAAACCTGGAAGGTGTGAATGGCTCTGTTCTGCTCATCCATCTCTGTGATAGCATCCCACTGTAACAATACAGGAAGCAAATATTAATACATTTAAAAAAAAGTATTTAGTTAGTAAAATTATTGCACACAATCTGAAAAATTGATAGATGCCATTATCATGTGTCATTTGGGTGAACTGATCGTAAGATAACTGTAATTTGTTGATTGGTGTGAGTGACTACAATTGGCTGTTATTCTGTATGTATTATATTAGTTTGTAAAGGGCTCAAGATTAGTAGAAAATGTATTAGTATTGACCCTACTGTATGTTTGGAGCTTACAATTCATGCACCCATGAATGACCTGCTTTTAGATCCGTTCCATAAGAAACCACCTATTGCATAATGAAACTTAATTTCTATGAAAAGATGACGTTTGAAAGACACCGAGTTGGTTCCACCAATGTTTTCAAGCTGTTGCATCAGCCAGACGCTCTCATTTGTCTGCTTCGCTTTAACGGTGTGATGATCGGAGCTTCAAAAGCCCTCACGTGTATTGACAGAACTTCTTTCTCACAACTCCTGTGGCAACAACTGGGCAGCTGAGATTGTGTCAGTTATACAGCTGGACATAATTATATCTGAAGAGCATGAGATCCATGGGAGACCTTGTGTGCGCTTTCAATTTGTTAACATGCTGTAATTTTTCCTTGTATCTCAGGAAACCAAGGGGAATTATTAATTTCCTAAGCTATGGTTGAACCAACCATTGTAACGTTTCAAATCAGTGCTTGTTTTGGTTATGTCTCTACAGTATTTACAGTAATATTAATAGAACACTCACTCTTGCTCACTCTTTACATTGTAATCAGGTCAGCTTCAGTGACAAGTTGGAAACCATCACTATCATCACTTATCTGAGACTGGATTCTCCAAAGGATGCAGTGCATGGGGGGGAGGGGTCCTTTTTCCTCTCCTCTTAGTTAACAAGGTCACTCAAACGCTCCATTGAACAAGTGATGGTGCACAATGTATCATGGTATACTGAGGGTTGTAAGGCCACATGAGTGAGCAAAAGAAGGCTCTTGACCACATTTGGAGAAATCCTCACTATGGGGCATCATGTCAGCCTATCACAATGGTTTTGGTCTGGAAATGCTGCCTTTCCAGGATCCATCCCCTAAATTTGGACAGAGCTACTGAATAGATTTTACATTAAAGGGGTGTCACTATCCAGTAAAAGACTTCCGCATAGGATGTGACCTTTGCTTTTACAAAAACAATTCCTGCTAGATATACTGAAATAACAAAAAAGTAAAAATATAATTAGATTATAATGTTGACATGTATCAAGACTACTTTTTTTATTCTGGCATATATTTAGTCATATTTTAGTGAGGGATCTACTAGAGTTTCAAATGTCTATCTTTAATTAAAATCTACTATTTTTTAGATTTACATATTACTTACTTGATTTGGAATCTACTTTGTTTTTCCAAATGTTCCAAATTCTAAGCACTTTTGCACATTTTTTTCACTGCCTATGCAGCCCTGTGATGTATCAAATAGAAACTTTCAAAATCAAAACCCTGGTTTGTCTCTCTTTTTGGTTATGTTTCTGCAAGTCTAATACTTTTTCCCTGCAACCCCAAAAGAGAAGACATATTTTTTAAGGCACAGCTCAGCCCTTGTGAACCACAAAGTTACACACCCGCAGCATCCGACGTATACTTGGACGTGGGCATTCAGATTCTAGATCTCACCAACCAGTCTCACCAAGGCGCAAAGACCACATCACAGGAAAGGTTTAAAACTCAATTTATTATCATATAAATACGCTGAAAATCCAAAGGTGAAATATCTGTGCTCGTAGTGGTTAAGGCGGGAGGGAAACAATCCGTGTTATAGAGGCTGGGAAGAAGAGAGAGCAGTCCAAGGCCAAAGGTCAGCTGTGCTGCAGGTTGCTTGCTTACTCAGAGTCCATTGTCAACTTTACACCTCGCTCGTTGGTCGTTCTCACTGAGCCACCACCATGGACAAGCCTGGCAACACTTCAGCCTTGTGGAAGCGCAACTCTGCCTTCACACTGTGCACCTTGAGGGGACCCTGGCCTGCGCACAGAGAAACACAGAAGAATATGAGCCACTTTTGATATTCAAATATTCACTGAGACCTCACATACATACCATAACATGCCAGCACACAGAGAAAAACGTTTTGCTGCATGTGGAATAAGTATACTCTGTCTATCAAGCAAATTGTAGGCTGTGCACTTCGATGTCCTTTGGTCTCTAACCTAGGGTAGGTCACTTTCTATCCACTTGCTAACTTCAGCTTCAGTCTGTAATGTATTACAGACACTAGTTTGTAGCCACATGCTATAGCTAGTTTCAAATTACACCAGAAGCAACTATCTTGAAGCTAACTACTTGCTAATGGTAGCTTCAAAAACACAAAAAGCAACTATTTTATTGACAGAATAGCTTCAAATTACACTAGAGGCAAATATTTTAAAGCCACTTGCTAACGTTAGCTTCAATCTAAACTAGAAGAAACTATATTATAACCATTTGCTAGTTAATTGTTAGCTTTAAATTACACAAAAAGCTTCTGGTTCATTTTTTTATTATTTCTACAACAATACGAAAACTGGAAAGACTACAATATTTAACCAACTACTTAATTTTATATTCTTACCTTGAAGTTCAGTCTGTACATTCCTCTTCGTTTGACATGCAGAGAGGGTTCAGAAAGTAACGGTCAAGGAAGCTCATGCTAGAGGCTCGTGTTAGTTTATACATACTCCTCCCCAACAGAGTACATTTTTAAAAGTTCATTGTTTTGCTGGGTGCGTGCACGTTGCCTGAAAAGACGGGCTCGGATTGCATAAATACAAGAAATGTACAATGTCAAGTGTTTTGAACAAATGCAGGTCAATTCAAAACTAAATATAGACTATACATATAAAGAGAGAACTTATATTTTTATTGTTAATAGATTATGTGATTCAACTTTTGCATTTACTCATATTTTTTTGTCCTATTCTTCTCCAAGATAAAGATGACCGAAGCCTTCTCCAAGATTTAAGACGGACTTTCACTTGCCACTACGCTGATACCTACATTGTGAAATTCTGTATTCGTGATTTCTACAAAACGGGATGTTCAATAGGAGAAAATCATCCAAAGCTTCTGTGTTGAATGTGATATATATACTTTTTCATATTAGAACACACCAACCAACACACACACACACCCACACACACACTACCACACACCTACAGACACACTGCACAGTCCTCAATTATGTTATATCTTAAAGGTGTTGCACAAAGAGAGACCCAAGGAAGGCCGATGACAGACAGAGTTGCGTTGTAAAGGAAATTAAAACAATTGAGGTAGAGTGTTTTCAAATATAAATTATTCAATAACACCTTAACCTTGACTTGAGCATGCAGTGCAAAAGCAATTAATCTAATATTAATTAAGCTATCTAAATTAGCTCTATAGACACCCAGTGGCTAATGATTAATCAATCATAATCATTTCCTCTTTCATTTGGAACTCCAGCCAGACAATAATACTGTGCCCGTGCCTTTATGATAAGTGGACTCTGAGGTAGTAATCATGCATATATCATTGCTGTTGGAACTGGAGGAGCAACTTCTTGGTATTTGATCATGATATATTTAATTATATAATCAACATTTAATTCAACATTTGTTTTATGGTCACAGCAAGCAGAAACTGTTCTAATGTTCGTATGGGCCAAAAATGTGAACGTATCTTTTTCAGCGCTGTGGTGGTGCTTCGAGCTAAATGCTCATATTAGCATGCTAACATGCTTACAATAATAATGCTAGCATGTAGATGTTAGTGTGTACTATCTTAGTTTAGCTTGTTAGCATGCTAACATTTTCTAATTAGCAAATTACAGCTGAGGCTGATGGGAATGTCGATAGTTTTTCAGGTATTTGGTCATAAACCAAAGTATTGAATCGGCTGAAACTTTGACCTGATGATGGACCTACATGAAAGGTCAGCGGTTCAATGTTTTTACATATAATCATCTGGCCGACTGTGCTAGAGGTCAGAAGATCGCCAGAGTCATTAGAATGTATTCTCAAGGGAACTTGGATATTCACAGGTAATCCCATGGCTAAATCAGAAAGCTGTTGAAATATTTCCAGCGGGACCAAAGTGGTTGACCGACTGACAGATCGACATTGCCATCACAGCCGCTAGCATGGCTGAAAATTCAAACGCTCATCTGTGTTCACCAAAGTGAGGATCAGTCTTGTGTTGTACCGTGAGGGCTGTGCAGTGAATTGTCACATGCCAGACAGCCTGTTATTTCTGAGGTTTTCTGCAAGTGTGTGAAAGAGGAAATACTTTAGAAGTCACAGAAAGGAATTTGACTTTAAGCTTTAAGACTCACACACTCGAGAGGAGTTTCTTCAACATATGCACTCTATATTTAGTAATTTCAGTGCCCTCCTTACAGTGCAGAAACAGAAACGTTGTATCTTTACAGAAAACAGGCTTTCTGGTTTGCATAAGATCAGCATTAGTAATTGAAGTTCCATTATGCATACAAACAAGAGAAAATGGTAATTTGTCACTCTGTGTGCCTCTGTGTTCTAAAATGCCCCCTTGGGATGTGGTATGGTTCAGAGCAGAGAAAACAAATGCAAACCCAGAGTTTGAAAGATGAGCTGCAGCCCACGCTCTCTGAGGCGATCAGATATGCACCTACTAATCGCTCTGCCTATTAGCCCCGAGCTTAGCAGACTGTAGCAGACAGATACCAGGTTTTGAGTACAAGGTCTGGAACTAATTAATGTATTAAACTAACACTAATATTGCAATATGGGAGTGCAATACCAGGTTCTCTGAAACTGACCTGCTCACTGTTACTTAGTGTGGAGGCTTCCCCTGTGATGAAATACTGAAAACCTTGATTAATGCAAAAAACAATTTTGGGTCTAATTTGTTAGTTTGGCATCGTGACCCTTCAGTTTGTTAAAATGTCCCCACTTGATCCAAAAAGCAATTAAGACACCTCATATTAACACAACGG